AGGTGGCCGAATTCCTCTTTTTGAGATGGCAGTAATTTCTGCTACCCTACTACTCTACTACTCTGCTGTTCGGCGGTTCTGCTGTTCTTATAGATAAGATAAGGATGATGGGTTTGGTTGACCGGGTCGGCCAGAGCTAACCCGGTCGACCCGAGTTGACCCGGGTTGACCAGAGTTAATTGGGCTGAGATATGGACCTGGATTGTGGGTTTTTGTTTTGGGATGCCCTTCTAACACTTCTTTTTTTCTTTGCAGGTCTCTGGTCTGGCCCAAAATGATGACCTAAGGAGGCCCAAATAGCCTCAAAAGGCTAAGCCTCTAATTCTGATTGGTGCCACCAAAAGCAGAATTTTTTTTATTTTTATTTTTATTTTTTTAATTGTATAATTACAAGGTGTATCTTAAATGTCACAGATTGTAATTTGTAATTACACATTTGTTTATTTATGTCCTTGCCTTTAGAATTAGATGATCATTGTATGTATTACTCAATCATTCAATTGATTATTTCAAACCAATTCGTTAACTACAATCGTGACCAATATCCCAACTTCTAAGTAAATAATTCTTAGTTATGAATCGTGACCAATACCCCATTCAACCAATTTCAGACCTATATCACCAATCGTTAACAATAATACCGGTATAAGTCGTGACGGCATACTATTGCTATTCTAAATAAAGCGAATTTGGTAGCCATTAGCTACTGCTAATCCTACCTAGTACAAATATTCGAAATGAATAGAAAGAAAGACTTGGAAATCGTTGGTATTTATTGATTCGCCACCGCTAATCTCAACCAACCTTATCTAAACTTTCGCTTGGGTTCTCTTTTTGCTTTTTAAATGGAATATTCTTCCGAATTTTGAGTAGGATAGTTGCTCCGGACAAAATGTGGTGTCTACAGCGGAAGCGGTCTACCTCCTCCAACAAGCATTTGTAAGTTGATGGTAAGTGTGTCATGTCGACCCATTTCCAGAAGCGGTACACTGACTGCCTCGAGTTGTATACCACTTGGTGGAAGAGTTCGGCCACTTAAGGTAATTGTGTCATCAGGTCAACTCATTTCCAAAGCGGTAGACCGGTTGACTCAAGTGGTATACCACTTGGTGGAAGAGGTCGACCTTTTTCTTGGAAAGTGGTCGGCCACTTGGTGGAAGAGATCGACCACTTGGAAGTAAGTGTGTCATCAAGTCGACCCATTTCCGAAAGTGGTAGACCGGATGACTCAAGTGGTAGACCACTGGTGGAAAAGGTCGACCGCTTGATGGTAAATGTGTCATTAGGCCGACCCATTTCCGGAAGTGGTAGACCAGATGACTTAAGTGGTAGACCACTTGGTGGAAGAGGTTGACCAATTTCTTGAAAAGTGGTCGACCACTTGATGGAAGAGAACGACGTTTTCTCCAAGTTAGTGTGACTTGCAAGTCATCATAGGCATACCCAAAACTAAACATTGATATAATTTTAATATCTTAGTAGAATAAGAAACTTGTCTCGCAAACTTTCGATACACATGAGTACTTTATAGAGGTAGAATCAAATGATATTGATATAGTTAAGTAATTGTCAAATAGAATAAAAATGTTTATTATATTTAGATGAAGAGAAAATAATTATTTTAATAGAAAAGGAAACTTCATACGCTAATGAAAAACTAAGACTTTATGTTATCTTCCACTTCAAAACCCTACCCAAAAATATCTTACCAAGATTCTCGTATATTTTTCACTTAGACGGCTGCCCAAGTCCCAACCGACTGCATCTCGTCATCTCCTCTTTTCCCCATTGTTATCTAACTTTTATAATATTAACTAGCTTATAACCCGGCCCTTTGGCCGGAATGCTCATATTTGATTATTTGTATTTTTATGTTACTTTTAAGTCTATTAACCCGTTTAATCTTATTGATAATCATTCGATCGAGATGATACATAAAGAAATAATATATAGGTCGAAGATTCGGAGAAATATCATAATCATTTAAGAATATAAAATATAAAAATGTATCATTGACCCCATTTTCATAATGCTAATTAAGTCCCTGTTAAAATGCTATTGGTTAGTTTTCTTTTACAGTCAATAAATATAGAGTATAAAAGCTCACTGAAATTCTCACACAACCCATAGATAGTTTGAAACTAAATCTTAAACCTCACAATCCTATATAAAGGGTTCAATGCTCTCCATTTAGAAACAATATGTCACTAATCAAAAAGAAATGGAGAGTTGTTGATTCAAGTCATCTATATAGTAAAAACTCAGCTAAGAGGGGACCATCACAACTTGAGAGCAAACGAAAAAATCAGGGTTATCTCCAATATACGAATAGACTCGATCAAAGTAATAAGGCGCAAAATTAGACACTCCTTATCTATTAGTTCCAGTAGGTTGAATAAAGAAGCGACCTATTTCAAACAATCAATCAATGATTCCTCGTTTTAAGATAGAAATAGGTTATGACAGTTGCAAAAACCATAAACATAAAGATCCAATAGCCACCACTCTCCGTTGTACAACCAAATTTCTATCTCAAGAGGCATATATTCAACCAAAAATTCAATTTCTAATCTTCCTTCTACAACTTCAGTTATTGATGAACTCCATTCTATTCGCCATGAATTGATATCGGAGTTGAAATCTTCTACTCGCCCAGCTTAAAATCCCCAACAACAAAACCGTAGTGCCAAGAGATACCTGAAGATTGATTTTCAATGACAGTCTTGTACTGGGAAGTGAAAGGCGCAAACTATTGCACGATGGATGAAATTTCGGAGGAAGTTATAAAGAGAAAAGAACAAAGATAAAAAAAAAACAAAACTTAAATTTAAATTGAAAAATGCAAGGATACAACAGTAGTTACATAATTAGTTTCTTCCATGTTGGCCAATTACCCATTTACCTTTAGCAAAAATTAAGGAGAGAGCGAGAATTTAAAATTGAGAAAATTACATGAAACTCTACTATGAAAATAGAAGTATCAAGCTCGATAAAAATAAATACGGTAGACTTAGTGAGCTTGCTAATTATGATAAAAAGTCCTCTGATTTTCATATATTAACTTTGTCTATTTTTTTATCAAAAAGAATGCAATAAATTTGTTTAGTGTAATTGGTTGTGATTGTTATCTTTGTTTGAAGAGACCCGGGTTCAAACCTTGACATTACTATTTTTATATGAAATAAATAATAAACGTGTAAAGACAAAAATGACCTTCCTACTTTCACTCTCGTTGCAGGAAATTTGAAATGGAGAAAAGTACACAAAACTCTATCATATATTAATGGAGGATGCTTTTTGCGTCGCTAAACCTGCTCTTTTTTGTAGTGATTATATGAGGAAAGATTAGAAAGTTAACAAAAACTATTTTAACAAAAACAATTCTGGCTTTGCCACTGCCTATAACAGTATTATTAATAAACTACATTGTTAAAAACCCTTCTAAAATTATTAAATTCATCCTATAATATGTACGCTATATCAGCCTTTTTAATTCAACATTCAAACCAAGCAAACCCTTATTTCTGCTCTCCACAAAATTCTCATATGACCTGCTGGTATAGGTGTCAATCGGGTAGGTTCGGGTGGGTTCGGTCTGGGTTCAATCGGGTTCGGGTTCAAATGGGTTGCGGGTTCATCAGGTTGTGGGTTCAACGGGTTCGTGTTCATCGGGTTTGGGTTCAAACGGGTAGCGGGTTAGTCGGGTTGCGGAATCATCGGGTTCGGGTTCAATTGGGTTGCGGGCAAATCGGGTTGCCGGTTCAGAGGGTTGCGGGTCGGCCGGGTTGCGGGCGGATCGGGTTGCAGGTTATTCGGGTCAGGCCATCGAGTAACTTACTCTTTATTAGTTACCAACATACATATTTTATTACAGTAATTTAAAATAATTTTCTCAATTTTTAACTGATTTCTTTATACCTCGTATATGTACTTAATTAAAAAAAAGTCAAAGTGTTGAATCAATTTATATGACTTGCAAACTTGTTATGTAATTAATCGTAATTTGTAAAGTACAATGGCTAATATTGATGGTTATATCAACATTTGCAACCAAAAGATACCATTAATTGTTTATTTGGCATTTTAGTATTATTTGAGTAGCAATTAGATTAAAGTATCTCATTTAGTATAACCATGCAAATCTGGTATTTTTTTTTATAGAAGCAAATCTGGTATTTGACGCGTGGTATTTGGCAAAAACAGAGTGGTAAAAGAAGTTGTTTTGAAATAACTCATTGCCCTAATAACTTCAGTAAACTGTTGTCGAACGAGTTATTAGGACTCCTGTTTGCCACATCATAAAAAATTAACGGCGTTAACGGAGATTGACGGAGACTGACGGCCAGTGACTTGCGGTGAAACGAATCATAAAGTTAGTTGCTAATAATAAAGAAAAGTAATTCGAGTGGCAAAAGTGAAAGATTTATATAATTCAAGTGACCAATGGTGTAATTTAGCCTTTAATTATTAATTCCAAAGATAATTAATTTTGTAGTCGATAATACCGATTGGGATATCGAAGAACCAATTGGGATACTGAAATATTTAAGGATTGAGATTGGGATACCGATTTTTTATTTTGTAAAAATATCAAAATTATTTAGGAATTGGGAATGAAATCGATTTTAGAGTGTAACTCGATATTCGATATTTCGATATTTGATATTGGGATACCGACACTGTACCAATTTTCACCTCTAGACACCTCTACTTCTAAAGCCTAATAATTTGTATGAGTTTTATAAATTATTTCTCGTGCTTAATGTGTAATGATTATTTTTTTAATGTGTGAAAATAAAAACAAAACTATTTCAACTTGTAAAAAAATTTAGGAAGGAAATTATCATCAACCGCTTTTGTTTCTGAATTTCTATTTAACGCCCTAAGTTTTTAAATAAATCGCCCTAAATATAATGAATGGACTATTTTGCCCCCAACAATAAACGCCCTTTTTTAATTAGTCGAATATAGATTTAACGCCCTTATGACATCCGTCTTCCCCGGCCAGCCGCCCTCTGTCTTACCCAACAGTGTCGCTGCCCTCTGCTCCAGCTCGCCGTCGCCCTTTGGTCCTGCTCGCCGCCTTCTATCTTCCCTGGCAGCATCGCTGCCCTATGTTTCATCTCGGCGCGTTGCTCTGCTTCGGTTCGCCTCCGCCCTCTGTCTTCCCCCGCAGCGCCGCTGCCCTTTGTCTTCCCCGGCAGCGTCGCCCTCTGCCTCTATCCATCACTTGTTCTTCTTGGTCGAAGGATCTATCACAGTCTCTCAACCCTCTGTCAATCTTCCCTTCCATAACTGCTTTTGAAACCGGCACCATTATCATCATGATTTAATTGCCTCGCTCCCATGGACAATGCCCAAATTTATTCCATTATAGCACCCCTGGTAATACAAGAGTTTAACTTAAAGGCCGGCCACCTCCGAATCCGCTAGCCAACAACCGCCACCGCTTTGCTTCATTTGAGATTTATGTTAGAAAATAGAATAGGAATAAATGTGTCTATTTTTAAATTTAGGGCGATAAAATTAAAATATCTAGGGCGACGAATAGTAACTCCCTTTTGTTTTTGTCGATTGAAAATTATCAGTTTTCTTTTCCCGAGCGAGGGAAAACTCCCTCCCATGACCGCCATCTACTAATTACCGAAAATTTCGGAGGGAAATTATCCTCATCCGCTTTTTTGTTTTCCATCCAAAAATTTATATTTCCTTTCCATGAGCGAGGGAAAACTCCCTCCCACTGACAACCAATTGATATTTCATTTTCTTTTCAGAGACTAACCTGTTTTTTGAGAAGTTTATGGTATGTTAGGGTACAAGGTATGTAGTGGAGAGTATAGGATATATGGTTAGGGAAAGTTTGGATTGAGTTGGTCGGATTATGGGTTAGTCGGGTTCGGGTTAATCGGGTTGCGGGTCAGTCGGGTTGCGGGTTAGTTGGGTTGCGGGTCAATCAAGTTGTAGGTCGGGCGGGTTAGGGGTTGTTGACTTTTAGTCAATTCGAGTTGCGGTTAGGTTGCGGGCCGGGTTGATCGGGCGAGTTAATCTGGTCGGGCTATGTTTTGACACCTATACCTGCTGGTGTCGTTTCCCCTTCCCTCCTGGCAACCGGTGCTCTCCCTCTGCTGGTGTCGTCTCCCACTTGAGTTCGCTTAAAATTGTAGAATTTAACGACGTTTTAAGATATTTGAAAACTATCCTTTTTCAAGTGAAATGTTTGATGGATGAAGGAATAACATATTTACCACCAAAAAAATTTATTATTGATCTATTTATAAAGTTATCTCTCTCTTCTTTTAGTATTTATGTTCAATTTTACTCAACATTAAGAATGTAAGTAAAAACAAGCAGAAATAATAATATTTTTGTCAATTAAACAAAATATAAAGATGGAAACAAAGAATAACATATATCGGGTTTGTTTAAACAAAAAATATATGATTAAATCTTATCAATTAAATTATCTACTCATTTTACCCAAAATTTAATAATAAGTTACATTTTGATAAAAAATTTGAAGAAATACACACATAAATAACAATATCTTTGTCTATTAAATAAAATATAACGACACAAAGAGATAAATCAAGTGTTTGACAATCAATCGACTTTGAAAAATAAAATATATGAATTTATATATTAAAACTTCTCTTATTATACTTCTTTATAATATATATGTCTACCAGTTAAAATAGTTATTATATAAATAATTATTTCACATAATAAAATAATTTTCAGAATATAACTTGATCGAAAAATAATAATTATTTCTTAAAAATATTTCTATTCATCCCGATTAAGTGAAAACATATATTAATGTTCTACCTGAAATTTCTCAAAGGAAGAGTAATCATGTGCAATATTTTATAATTTGGTTTAAGCTCACATTAAAATATTTTATTTATATGATTTGGTTGAGCATGCACAATTGAGGTCATAAATAATATGCTAATAAATTTTCTTTTTCGGATTTAGAGTTATTGTCGAGGATTATACATCAAATTTTTTAAAATGAGTTAAGTATGAGTTTTGACAAACTTTGACTTCATACCTTAAGACGAGACACAATATATCTTAAAAAATGACACATGTGAATGTTAAAGGAATCTTTGTTGAGAATATACAATAAACATCACGTTTCATCAATCACTGACATAGACATTGATCCAATAAGGATTGAAAATTTTCATTTAATAATTGAATATCTTTAGACAAATCAAAATTTGATTATTGAGACAATAAATAAATATCACTGTTTTAGGTGAGATATCTAAACAAAAAAAAATTCATAATTACAAGAATCTAAATCAAGGTATTGTGTTAAAATGAAGAATTTCTAATAAGGATGAGTTTAGTAAGGCAATTATAATTAGTTATTTGGTTATATGGTGCGAGTCTATGACTCCATGCCAACTTTTGGAAATAATAAAAACTTTTTCAATATCAAAGTATCAGATAGGAATTTTCTATTTTGTAACAATAAGCAATTTGTATTTACAATAAATTTGTCTACAATACAAACAAGAATTCACATGTATGTGAAATGTCACAATATTTGTATGAATTCTTAAAAGTTTATAAAATATTTCAAAAAATTATAAATCATCATTACTTAACCTTATAGGAATTTAAAACTAAATTAGTGTCACATCAACAAATGGCTAGCTCTCATCCTTCCATAGTGGACAACTTCTAATTCTTGCTTATATATATTTTTTGTTTACTCTTTAAATTGTCATTATTATAAATAAACGTAAATTAAGTTAATAACACGGAATGCAATATTTTGGTTTGTTCCTATTCCTTTTCTCATACAAATTATCTATACAAAAATTAAGTGCAACATAACATGGAAGAAACTATTTCCTTATTTTCGTCTCTCTCCTCTTTTGAAATCCTCTGAAAACTTCTTCGAGTATTGCGATGGCCGCCGTCGCCGACGGAGCCACGACTGGCGCCGTTGGTGGCGGTCGGTCTTGGGCTTCCTTATTTCCTGTATCGGCAGAGGTCAAGTTGGATTTCTTTGAGCCTGAGTTTGTCAATGGTTCTCTTCGGATTCCCAAATCAGTAGTTGAGGAGGGCACGAAGAATTGGGAACATAGCCTTGTGGGTCAATTCCTAGCCGTTCCGCCTTCGCTTTTGGCACTACGATTCTGGGCTAACTGGATTTGGAGCCGGGATGGGGAGGTCAAGGTTTCATTCCTTGATGACAAGCTGGTTCTCTTTCAATTCCCGTCGGAGGCGACTTGTCGATGGGTGTTTGAAGGGGGGCCGTGGCACTACCGAGAGAAGATCATATGTCTTCGGCGCTGGATTCCTGGGATTAGAGCACTGGAGATTGACAATTCCGCTATTCCAGTTTGGGTCAGGCTGTTTGGATTGCCCGCTGAGTTGGCGATGAGAGAAGGATTAGGTCGAATTGCAAGTTCTATCGGTAAGCCTCTCTGTATGGATCATTCTACAGCACATAGGGAGAGGGTGGGTACTGTTCGTGTATGTGTGGAAGTCAGTGCTGCTAAGCCTAGAGTTGACAAAATCAGCATTGCTCCTGACGATATGTCCGCGTTTACTATTGATATTGAGTATTGTGGCCTCCCTCGATGTTGTACTGCCTGTGGAGTGTTTGGGCATGACTGCTCCCTTCCCCCTTCTGGGGCTCCCACTAAGCGTGTATGGCGTCGAAAGCAGGTCAAGGAGGCTGACCTAGGACAGTCTGAGGTTGCTGTTTCTGAGATTCCACTGGAGAAAGGGCTGCAGATTGCTCCTGAGAAAGTTGTACCAGTTTCTGGAGGTGAGGTAGCTGTTGATAAGGGCAAACAGGTAATGGTGGACTCAACCCCTCCTGTTACCCCAAGTGCTCTACCCTCGCAGGAAGAATTTAACAAGGTGATCAATGGGGCTAAGGCGAGGTCTAATCTGAAGTTGCCCACTCCTATTCTGCATTCTAACGCGTTTGAGCTATTATGTGGCCAAAGGGATATTGTTTTACAGGCCCCTCCACGAAAAGGGGGTAGAGATGGACTTCGAAGTAAGGGGGGAACCACCAAGGTGGTTTCAACTCATAAATGACACTGCTTATATGGAACACAAGGGGATTTAATGGCCCCTTGAAGCACAATGCAGTGCTTCGTTATCTTAGAGTATATAGAATTTCTATTTTTGCTTTACTTGAAACTAGAGTGCAAAATAAAAAGAGGATTGAGGAGATTCGCGGTAAGTTTGTTGATTATCAGTTTGTGGATAATTACTCAAAGCACAAGTTGGGTAGGATCTGGGTGGCGTGGAATGATGATGCTAATGTGCAAGTGTTGGCTGTGGAGGAGAATTTTCTGCATATGATAGTTTCAATGCGGCAGGGGGCTCAATTCTTCTTGACTATAGTCTATGGTTCAAATGATGAAAAGAGTAGAGAAGTTACGTACAAACAACTGAGTTCATGGAAGGTACAGGGATTCCCTTGGGTTGTAAGTGGAGATTTCAATGCAATTCTTGATCCATCAGAAGCCTCAAATGCAGTTTCTATCTCGGGAAGTACTCTTGCTTTTCGAGACTGGGTGACACAGATGGAGCTTGTAGATCATACTGCCTCGGGCCCTCTGTTCACTTGGTTCAACCACCAACAGGATAATCCTATTGCTCGCAAACTGGATAGAATGATGGTCAATGTTGAGTGGTTAGAGAAATTTACTGAATGTGTAGTGGAATTTTTAGCCCCTGACTTCTCTGATCACTGTGGAATTTTGACTATACCTTGTGTTCCAGAGAAATCTTATCCGAAGCCATTCAGGTTTTTTGACATGTGGTTTTCTCATGCCTCTTTCTCGCCTATTCTTGAATCATGTTGGGGGGCAGGAGGTAAGGGGGACAGGTTTATTTGGTGTGAAACAGAAACTATACCTTCTTAAGACAGAACTTCAAAAGCTGAATAAGGCAGCGTTTTCTGACATATCCAATAGGGTTAAGGAGAAGAAGAGGGAGCTGACAAACATGCAACTTCAAGCCCTTCAAGTCCCTTCTGAAAGGCTCTTTGAAGAGGTTCATTCCCTGACTGGTGAATATGTGGAATTACAAAAAGCAGAGGAATCTTTCTTCAAGCAGAAATCCTGTATTACCTGGCTTACTCTAGGAGACACAAATTCGGGGTTCTTCCATAAGACTGCTTGTATCCGAAATGCTAAGAAGAAGATCAGGAAAATAGTTTCTCATACAGGTGTGGAGTTGACAGACATGAAGGATATTGCTGATGAAGCTGTTTTCTTCTATAAGGATCTCTTTGGTACTATCAATGAAGATGTGAATGTTGATAGTAATCTCATTCGAAGTTGCTTGTGCAAGGAGCTTACTGAAACAGATAAAAGAAGCCTTTGTAGATTGGTATCTGGAGAAGAAATTAAGCAGGCCTTGTTTGATATGAATCCCACCAAGGCACCAGGCCCTGATGGCTGGACAGCAGGGTTTTTTCAGAGAAGCTGGGGACTCATTGGCCCTGATATTATAAATGGAGTCCAAGCTTTCTTTCAGGAGGGAGCACTACCAAGAGGTATGAACTCTGCCTCACTGACTTTAGTACCAAAGATCCCAAATGCTAATAAGCTTACTTCCTTTAGACCTATTGCCTGTATTAACATCCTTTACAAGATAATTGCAAAAGTCCTAGCCAATAGGCTGAAAAGTGTCCTTCCTTCCCTCATTAGCAGAAATCAATCAGCCTTTATTCAGGGGCGTAGTATTTTAGAAAATATTTTAATGGCTCAGGAAATAGTACAGCATTATCACAAAGCTCAACTCTCTTCTAGAGCTGCTATAAAGATTGATCTTAAAAAGGCTTTCGACTCAGTCCATTGGGGTTATCTTTTATGTGTGATGAGGCTAATGGGGTTTCCAGAAGATTTTATAAAGTGGATCTCTCTTTGCCTTAGTTCAGCCACTTTTAGTGTCACTGTCAATGGAAGCCTCTTTGGTTTCTTTAGTGCTGTCAAGGGGGTTAGGCAGGGAGATCCTATCTCCCCCTACCTTTTCACTATTGCAATGGAGCCTCTGACAGGGTTATTAAATACAGCAGCTGCAAATGGAGAGTTTCCCTATCACCCTCAGTGCAAGCACCTTGGTCTTACTCATCTGAGTTTTGCAGATGATTTACTAATATTTTCAGAAGGGTCAGGCCAGGCATTACATGGAATTAGGACAGTGTTAGATACATTTTATCATCTCTCAGGGCTACAATGCAATCCTGGAAAATGTGAGGTATTTTTTGGAGGTTTTGCTCACCAGTTCAAGGCCACTGCCCTGCAAATCTCTGGTTTTAGGGAGGGCAAGCTGCCAGTTCGATACTTGGGGTTACCCCTGATCTCAGGTAAACTGTCAAGTGCTGAGTGTACTGTTCTAGTTGACAAGTTAACCCAAAGGATTAGAGGATGGAGGGCTCAAAAATTGTCTTATGCAGGCAAGATTCAGTTAGTGGAGTCAGTCTTATATGCAGTAGTTCATTATTGGATGGCAATCTTAATCCTCCCCAAGAAAGTGCTTAAAAGTATCCAGAAGATCTGCTCAAACTTTTTATGGCATGGAGATGGTGTTGGGAGGGCCAAGGTGGCCTGGGAGTTCATTGCTCTACCAAAAAAGGAAGGAGGTCTTGGCCTAAAAGATCTGAATACTTGGAATGTTGCTTGCTTAGCAAGATTGATCTGGCTACTACTGACTCAGGGAGGGAGTTTTTGGGTGGCTTGGTGCACCAGATACAGGTTAAGGGGTTGTTGCTTTTGGGATGTCAGGCTTACTTCTTCTGGATCATGGATCTGGAAACAACTGCTCAAAATCAGGTCCTGGTTTCAATTCAGGATGTGTCTGGAAGCTGATGGCAATGTCACTTGGTTAGGGAAAACACTGAAGGTGTTTTCTGTCTCTCTAATCTGGAACTCCATTAGACAAAAAAGGCCTGAGGTGCCTTGGTGGAAGGTGATCTGGGGACGATTCATTTTGCCCCGCAATCGACTTATTACCTGGTTGATCATATTAGATAGAATTGCTACTCGAGACAAGTTGAAGCGCTGGGGGGTGATATCTGATGATTCTTGCTCCTTGTGTGCTACTGCTGCTGAGTCAAGACAACATCTCTTCTGTGAATGCCCTTTTACCTTGAGTTTTGTTTCAGCACTGATTAAAAGGGAGATTCCCCTTCCCCTGATGTGGGAGGATATGCTGGATAACATCGTTGGCAAGGCTGAGCAGGGGACTCGTGCAGGGCTAGTTGATTGTTCTGTGTGGAGCTGGTGTTTGTCCTTCATATGGAAGGAAAGATGTCGTCGGTGTTTTGGGGAGCAGACCTCTTCCCCTGAGGTGCTTGCTGAGATGATGCGTCGTGAGATCAAAATGTATGGATGTGGTAATGCTGATTTCCAGCAGGAAATCAGTCGACATTCATTTTATAGGGAGCTGTGTTAGGTTGGTCTTTATCTGTTCTTCTCCTTTGAGTTGAGTTGATACTTTGTATTTTTGGGCTCTTTTGCCTTTGTATTTTTCGAACACTTCTGCACTTTGCAGAGAGTTTTGGGCTTAATAGATAACAGCTAATTACCGGAAAAAAAAATTAAGTGCAACATTGAAAATAAAGAAATTGGATCAAGCCATATAAAAACAAACAAATCTCTCTTCTTATTTCCTCAAAATCCTAAGATTTCTAGCATTTCTTTCTCTACTTTTTTTTTCAAACAGATACAGGAAAGGAAATAGTAAGGCATATTGAGTTTTTACTCTTTGTAAGATAATATGAGGGTGGAGTTACATGAGACAGTGATTAGATGGGATACAATTGAGCATCTGTAACATATGTTTGACTATTGACTAAAAATGTTCATCCTATTATTGCGAAGATGAATTGAATGAAGTCGATGATTGCTCATTGCTCCCTCTTCACCCTTAATCTGTAGTTGACAACTGGTCTCTTTTTCCTAGAGATATGTGGTTGTTTGCAGTTGACTGGCCATATTAAACTCTTCTTTCCATTTGTTTCTTAATTTCTTCCATATTACAACGGCTGGATGGTAAAATTCTCTACTCAAATCAATTAATGTATTTCTCTTGGGTTTTCAGGTAGTTGTTTTATGGTTCTCTATGTTGTATACTTTTATGTAAACATGTAATAGACAGTTGGAATGGTTTATTGCTTGGACTTAGAGTATCTCTCCTTTGGTTGAATAATTGATCATTTTACTTGCCTATTGCATCCCAATTCCGTGGATGATAAAATGGAAAGTAGAGTTGTTAGGGTTGTTTATTATGTTCATGAGTGACATGCTACTACCTATATGATTATAATCTGGTCAGTAAGTAAAACGTCGCAGGGGGTTATAAGTAGAAGGGAACACATGTGAGGTTTAATAAAGGTGCGAAAAAGAAAGAAAATGATGGTGGTAGTCTCTAAGTTGTTTATGTCGACGTTCTTTCAAATTCTACACGTTTGCAATGACATTTGTTTGTTTCCTTAGCATGCAATTTTTCCTAATTGAATCCCTAACTAAAACTCAATTTTGGCCTGATCGTTTTCTTGACAACAACTATTTGGATTGATGCATCAATTGTTTTCATGAATGAAGATTTTACAAGATACAATGCGTTGAGTTTTATTGATGTATGCAATTTTTACAATTCGTCTATGTTGTTATTAGGTAAAAAAAATTACACCATTGTTTTTTTTAAGGGGGTATGTAGCTCTCTACAAATATAAATTGTGTTTATATGCAATTTAGTTTGCTGAAAAAATATCATTTTAATAAAATAGTGACAACTAATAGTTCTATTTTTGGTTGGTTATGCTAGAACTTTTTGAAGATAAATTAAATGAATAAGTAGAAGATTGATGATGTGGATGCTAATGTTTTTCATCATCCTTCCAAAATTGCACAAGTAACTGATAGTGTACGATATTTTTGGAATTTAGAGCGCGATATTATATATTATCATATGGCAATATACGGGAAGGGAGAAGAATGAAAAGCTCTTTGCTTATTTTTTTATTAATTGAAACATATTTGCTTATTTAATTTTTTTAAACTTCTTTGTCACTATTGTGTGCTAAAATATTAATAATATCTTATGTATATATTCTAAATTGTGGGTTCGATAACAACTTATAAATAAATAAAAAAAGATCTACTGAGAGCTCATTTAATAAAATCAAAAATTCATAAATAAACAAAAGATATAAAA